GTCCTCTTTTGGAAGACCAAACAAAGTAGTTTCGCTTTCACAACGAAACACACAGCGCCTTCACAACATGGCGGCGGCAGCAACAACAATACTACAGCGAGAATAAAAGTTTTTTTGGGGGGCGGCGTTATGCAAATCTTCCCACACAGTGACGTAGACATGTGGAGGCATGTTAGAATGAGCCATTTTAGGTAGGCGTGGTTGACTCGTAACTTTTATAAAGAATATCTCTTTGGATTTGAGACTTTAGTCTTTGCAACTTTACAGATCTTCTTTATGCACCAGGAGCTTGTAACACTCCAAAGAGAAAGGAAAAATTGAAATCGCATCATATGACCCCTTTAAGGTACCACCCTAATGTAGCAGTGATACTGTAGCTTTGTACCTTTTAGTCTGAATGTATAGGTGGTCAGGAAAATGCAATTACTAGATATATATTATATTTTGAACAAACTAACTGTGACACAAATGTTTCGAGAACATCAGCCTGATCTGCTGGGAAGAACTCCCGCGCAGCTGCGTGCTCCAAAGCGAGCAAGTGTCCAGGCAGTGGAGTCACCCTCTTTATTTTCTTATCTTCACTCTGGAAAAGCAAGGAGCAGTAATAATGTACAACACTGAGAAAATGTGTGGGGGGGGGGGGGTACCTTTAAAAGTCCCAGGTTCACCATCAGTGAGGAGATAAAACTATAAGATTGAGAGTGGGAGCTGGAAAAGGCTTTCCTCAATAGAGCATCTGGGCAAGAAGATGAACAGCTAATTTTAATAACAATGACATATCCAGTAGTTAAAAGCAAACCTGCATGACTTTCTTTGATCTGTGGAACATAGTGGAAGATATTTTGAGAAACGTCTCAGTGTTTGGTTACCAACATTCTTCAAAATACCCTCTTTTGTGTTCCACAGAAGAACGTTAGTCATACAGGTTTGGAACAACACGATGGCGAGTAAATGAAGACAAAATTTTAATTTTGTAGTGAACTGTCCCTTTAAATGTTTATTTGAATGCTAGTAAGAATGTTGCTCATACCAGTGCTCTCAAAAATAGCTTGCTTTACTTCTGGTTCATCTTTGTATACTGATGAAATCTTGAGAAAAACTTCTGACACCTTACTAGCATCTGAGACGTCAACCTAAAAAAAAAAAGAGGAAATTATTTCAGGGGGTTTTAGAACAAATTAAACCATCCTAATGTACAACTGGTCCTTCTGAATCAACACTGTACCTGCTGCTCAATGAGCTGGATCCTTTTGGCTCCAAGGGAGATCAGTTTCTCAGCTGACGGGGAGATGAGGAAGGACGTGAGCTCAGAGCTGCAGTGAGGCACCTCCTGTGATGAGAAGACAATGCAGGTAAACTCAAAATTGTTCTTCTGATGAATAAAAATGAGTGGTCTTCTGAAGTAAAACAGAAAAGCAGCTAATGGCACACATCAGGTTTAGGAGTCCATTCAGGCGTGCAGATGTTTGCTAGCATCACCTTTTCTTCAATGACATCTTTTGTTCCATTGACACCATTTTCCTCTGCATCCTCTTCATCTTCCCTCTCTTCCTCATCATCTTCCTCCTCCTCATCATCATCATCATCTTCTTCAGGCTCTCCTTCATCATCACTGCATTAAGCACATCTTTTATTAGTCTAAGTGTAAAAGAATTTCAAACAAAAAAAACATGCATTTGCCTTCAATTTATTTATTTGAAAAACAACCAACGTTTTTTGTACAAAAACCCAGATAAAAACCTGAGCGAGCCCAGCAGATCTTCCATGTTCATGCTCTCCATCATGTCCCTGAGAGCCTCACAGCCATCCTCTCCAAAGCAATTTCCTAAACAAGCAACCACAAAAGATCCAATTCCCACAGAATTCAACAGAACAGAGAAACTCTTTAAACTATGAAAGATCAAGCTGTTATTTAATGGAGCTTTCATACTGGCAGTTTAATTTGAGCACAGTTTGCATGAAAATTTGGTAATGTAAAAACTGCCACGCAGAACCAGGAGTACAGAGCCCAAGACTACTTGTAGGAGGTGGTCTAAGTTTGATGGCAATGGAACTGTGGTGCAATTTGCGTAAATGTGAAAGCAAGTCTAACTCGGGTCCGCACTTGTTCAGAAAGTAACATACTCATGCAAATTAATTAGTGAGCTAATGTTAGTTATGCTAGCCTTTTTTTATTAATGAAGTGTGTAGATAACGTGTGCTGAATATTAACCACAAAATGAATCATGATCAATTTAATATATCAAAGCTACCAATTTCCGTTAAAAAGTTTGAAAACAAGCATCTTATGTGGGGAGGCTTTAAATATTGTGACGGACAACAGGGGGACTTTGAGTCAAAAATGTTGGGAAAATTTTTTATTACTAGTCCAACGCATTTACGATTCCTGATCTTTTAGTATAATCTTGATCATTTTTGCAGAATATTTCAGTACAGTATAGTTTATAAAGGAGGCCTTTGTTAAAGACAGGGCACCAATAGTGGATTAGAGAGGGGCTAGAAAGAGGGTGGAAAATTACTGTTACTGTGTAAATCATACACATACACTACCGTTCAAAAGTTTGGGATCAGTAAGATTTTATGTTTTTTTTTTTTTTTTTATAAGTCTGTTATGCTCAAAAAAGGCTGCATTTTTTTGATCAAAAATTACTGAAAAAAAACTGTCATATTGTGAAACATTATTACAATTTAAAATAATGGTTTTCCATTTTAATATACTTTAAAATATACTTTATATCTGTGATGCAAAGCTGACATTTAATCATCATTACTCCAGTCACATGATCCTTCAGAAATCATTCTAATATGCTGATTTATTATGAATGTTGGAATCTGTGTGCTTAATTTTTTTTGGAACCTGTGATACTTTTATCAGGATTCTTTGATGAATAAAAATTTAAAAAGAACATTAAAAAACTTACTGATCCCAAACTTTTGAATGGCAGTGTGTGTGTGTGTGTGTGTGTGTATACATATATATATATATATGAGACCCTTTAAGAAGACTTTAGACGAGGCCTACATGTGTATTAATAAAATGCTGTGACAACAAAATTGTATTATTTTACCATTGAGATCCAGTTTCTCCAGATCAGCTTTGCCCTGAACAGCCTTTGCAACTACCACAGCTGCAGCCTCGCAAATCTCTCCAAATGACAAATTCAGCTCCTTAACAAAACAAATATTTTAGAATGCTCACAGTATCTACAAAAACTGAATGGAAGTGTTTGTGTGTGTCAGCTAGATTCAATGTTGGTATCATGCATCAGCTAACCCTGAGGAATGGCAGTCCCTCTCTAAGGGCCCCTGCTATAGCAATAGCACCTTCTGAGCGTACCAAACAGTCCCCAAAATTGATGACCTTAAGACACTGGAGGTGCCTAACAGCCTAAACATGGACGAAATCACACACACAGCCATTATTAAACATCTCTTCTAACCATATAAACTATTTTGTGACATGATACCGAGCTGCTAATACCTCTGCCATGGCTATTGATCCTCTCTTAGTAAAAGTGTTGTCGTTGAGGTTGAGGACCTGAAGGTTTGGGTTGTGCTTTATGGCAGTGGCTAAAGCAGTGATACCAGGATGGTTAATTCCATTCTGTGGCATATGGACCTCCTCAAGACTGCCTAATAACTGTTTATAAAAAATTAAAAAAGCAAATCATAGAATATTTTAATTTGATGACAATGGAGTTTGTAATTTTTTTTAGATTTTTTGAAAGAAGTCACTTTGAAAGTTCAAAAGAACAGCATTTATTTGAAACTCTTTACTGTCACTTTTGATCAATATAATGCATCTATGGTAAATAAAAGTATTAATTAAAAAAAAAAAGTTGCTGACCCCAAACTTTTGAACAATAATGTAAATATATTTCTATAAAACATTATGCCTTAGTACCTTAAATGCTTTGGCAAGTGCAGTGGCACCATCATTCTCCAACCGATTACGTCCAGCTATGAAGACTTTTAACCTCAGGGGGGAGCCAGCTGCACTAGACTGCTTATGGCATTCAGTCAAAGCAGAAGCAAGGACCTTTAAAAAAAATCAATAAATAAAACTGTATACTCCATCTGTTCCATGAGCCCTTTCAAAGCTTTCAAACACATCTGACTGACATCATAACCACTCAAACTGGTTACAACAAGTTGATCTTAGCCTAAACTTACCATACCCCCTCCAATGCCCATGCCACAATTATTAAGCCTGAGCTCTCGTAAGGTGTAGCATGCAGAGCTCTTCAGGAGGCTTTCAATTCCCTTTACACCATCAGGGCCGAAGGCATTGTCGCTCAAGTCCAGATGAGTCAGTCTGGCCCCTGATGCCATCAAAGCATTGCCCAATGATATCTAGAACATTTGAATAAAATGTTGGAAATAAAATAAGCTTTTTACTCACAGCAAATGCATTTAACTGAGCTTTTTGAGATGGATATTGTTTTACCAGAGCAGGTGGAATTTCAGAGCGAAGGCGACCCGTGAACATGTCACTCCAATGGCATTGCTTAGTAAACAAAATGCAAAGATTAAAACTAGCAAAGTGAAAGAGTGAACATTTTCCAGTGGCAATTTAAAAGTACCTCCAATTCCCTTTTTGCTACAAGAGACTTTGCAATTGCCTGTGCTGCTTCAACCCCCAATGTGTTTCCCTCCAATCGGAGAGACTGCAGCCCCTGACACTGTTCGATCTCCTGCACCATCTCTTTCACTGCAACATCACAGAAAAGAAGGGAAAACTAAGAGAGTTGTGGTTGATGCACTAATACATGGAAAATGTAAATATCTGCTAACAGATAGTTTTACTCACCTGACTCAGCATTGTCCAACTTCAGCCCTTGTCCCTTATAACTTAATTCCACTTCTCCAACATGGGTCTTGGCCAGCGCCTCTGTAATCTGAGCAATATCTCCAGAGGCCATTGCTTTTCCCTTTGCTTTCTGTACTAATGAAGTTAATAATACATAAACAGGTTTAAAAAATTTAGCACTCATACAGATAATTACATCCCACGTTATTATAGATAAGTGTTACATCCTCACTTTAATTCATTATTAACAGGACTGTAACATTAACTCAACATGCTAGCCTGTCACTATACATGGAAATAAAAGATTGACGTTGAAAACAGTTCAATTTAAAACGGGCTGTTGCACCTTGCAGCTCGATAACCCCAAAATAGACGCTGCTGAGCTTACGTTGTCTCACACAGTTAGCATGCTAATATCACTGCATCATTGAGGCTAGCTCAGAGAATTAGCTACCAAACTTTACTCTCATCCAGTACTTTAAACTAGTCCTTCAAGCGCATCAACATTAAGTGAAATCTAAAAATCTCATTGCATTTTAAACCTACGAATATTACCTTACACCTCGGCGCAGATATTAATACAAGACAGCAGATAACTACCCTGACAAGAGAGAATGCATCACAACTGGAGGCACATGGAGGCGGCAGTTCTTTGAAAGTGCCGGTGTCGCATTCTTTCATAATAAAAGCACCATTAGTCCTGTTATGACTTTTTCGACTGTTATGACATTACTAGTCGTACTGAATATACCATTATTTATGTGATAAAAATATGATTTTTTTTTTACAACTGTTGAAATAGTGAATTGAAACACATATACCAGTTAATACGTAAATCTGAATAGCAAGTTATAATTATCTATCAATTATATACACCAGATAATTTTTAGATGGGATGTATTAATATATAATTAACCAGCTATATAACGTATATTTAAAATAATTGAATATATAACATACATTTATTTGTATTGCCTCTTTCTAATCTACGAGTTGTCGCAAATACGACGCGAGCCCCAGTGGCCTAATGGATAAGGCACTGGCCTCCTAAGCCAGGGATTGTGGGTTCGAGTCCCATCCGGGGTGGAAATCTTTTAAACCAGGGTGACCAAACTACGGTCCGCGGGCCAAATGCGGCCCGTGGATGAATGTTAAGCGGCCCGCAGCTGTCTTAATAGTCTATATTATATATGGCCCGCCAAGCCATAATTTACAAAATAGGCCTATGCAGTTTCAAAATGTCAACACAAGATGGCAGCACTAAATTTGAGACCAGATGTAGCAGTAAAACGCGAGTGATATCAATTTGATAACTCGTATGCGCTCTCATTTCTTTAGCGCACGCGAATTCCTAAACGCGTCAAAAGCGGAAGAGCGCGACTCGTTTGAACCGCGCTGCACGGACCGTTTTTAGCTCTGCCTAAAGACAGCGTAGCGCGAGCTCAGAACAAATGCGTTTACGCGCTGACTGATCTCGATCACGAGACCACTAAACAGCGCTGTGAGAAGCGTTTGAGTTTGGAGCAGAGGTTTCCATACAAACAAACCACATATGTCAAAGGCAGATGAAACAGCGCTGACATTCTCAACAACACTAACGCGGAAAATAGGAAAAACATTGTGCGACAACAATGCAGTAAGAATACTTTTCAATCCACAAATCACCAACATTTTGATTTACTGTAGTAACCGTAAGGTGAGTTTGATCAGGGTTGGAGCTAAACTCTGTAGCGCACACGCCCTCCAGGGCAAGATTTGAGGAACCCTGCTTTAGACTGAAAGCATGTGGAAATTCGCTAGCTCTTCAGTCATTACCGGCCACTGAATAAGGATATTATATTTAACTAAAGATTTGGTTATTTTATTTAGTCATTTAGCAGATGCTTTTATCCAAAGCGACTTACAAATGAGG